AGAGACAGATAGATAGACAGATAGATAGACAGATGGGCAGATAGCTGGATACGGAAATAAGCAAAGAGATAAAAAAACAAATCGACAATAAAGATCCTCCTATTACTCTCATGTAGAGGTTCTTGTAGCTGCTACTTGTAGCTGTATAACAACCGGGTCCAGAAAGTCGAACAGTGACTTTGTGAGCAACTATCAAGGGGATCTGATTTCCAGGTGGTGTGGGAATGAAAACATCCTTTTTCCCACTGGACTCAAGTCTAATGTAGGGGCCTTAATAATTAGAATAGGGTTTTGGGGCCCCTTATACTATAATTATACTGAGGAGCCCCCCAAATAGGCTTGGGAAATCGGCCCAGGAAAGTGACAAAACAGCAGCATTGCGCCAAGGCAGCCCTAAACCCCTAAACCCTTAATTAACCCCTTTTGCAACAGGCCTCGTTGTCCAGCAACCCTTAACCCCTTTTGCAACAGACCGCGTTGTCCAGCAGCCCATAACCCCTAAGCCTGAAACCCTTAAACCCTAAAACCTTTAACCCTAAACCCTAAACCTTAAACCCTAAACCCTAAACCCGGGCCTCTGCCAGGAAAGCATGGATCCGGCGTGCAGCTTGCAAGCGTGTGAGGTTTGCCGGGAAGCGGTTCACGAAGTCCCGAACTTCGTTCACCACGGGCTGTGCAGATTGGTCCTTGCATCGAGGGGCTTTGACAGTTGGACCAGGGCTAGGGCTAGGGGGGTATAGTATATAATCTATGACAGTATAAATATAGATCTATAGGACTAAAATGAATATGAGACGATCTTGTGAATCTTGTGATATAAATACCAGATTGGTCCTTGAAGCGCTCCACAAACTGTGGGTAGCTGTAGCCTGTGTTCGACACCGGCAGCTTGCTCATGTCGCTGGCATAGCCGTGCTCCGGCTGAAGCGCAGTGGGCATTAAGCTTCCCTTGCTTTCACTCTCCAGCGCCCTCGGCGATGGATCTGTGTCGGCTTCTGCCACTGGGGCATCTGCCGACTCCTCGGGGGACTCCTCTGGGGACTCCTCTGGGGACTCTGGAGACTTGGAGGCCCGAACCTCCTCTTCTAAAGCCGGCGGCTCTGCTTCGGGCACGACTTCGGCTTGGCTATCAGCGCTCTCTTTGAGCCCTTGGGGCTCCTTGGATGGTGCTGCTATCGGAGCTGCAGCAGCAGCCTCCACCGGAGGCTCTGGGATGTGTGCCATGAGCTTAGGCGCGGTTGCGAGAAGGTTAGCAGACTTGGCATATCTTGGAGTTTCTTCGCGCAGCAACTGCTGCTTGCTACTTAAGGACTTCCAAGTACTTACCTGACATTCCAGCATAGCAAGCCCAGCAAGATAATTGCTTCGAACGGCTGCTGTCGATGCGGCGCGACATGGCTAACACGTTCAAAAAGTCACTATGGCCCCTGACTGATCTTAGGGCTCCAATAGTTTGCTTGGGGGGCAGGCCTGCCTGATCATGAACACCGCATCCACAAACACAAAAAACAGTAGGCGTAGCGCACCCCGCCAGAAGCTTCGATTCTGCCTCCAGCTGACGGTTTGAAGCATTGGGTTTTCCAACCTCAGCGCTCCAGAGCACAACCAGGCATAGTGAAACCGCAAATCCTAAACCCGCGAAACCAGCAGAAACAAGGGCTTGTTTCATTCGTAAAACCCTGAACCATGCCGGGGAGAGACTGAGTACTCATCTACAGTCTACAGGGAACCCAACATCTCACTCGCTCCACAGCCGCTTCGGCAACTCGTAGGGGGCACCGATTTTTTGCCCGGTCATGACCGGCGCAAAAGCTCGGAGTCATGGGCAGACGCATGACTCACAAAAAAGCCTCCACGACATCAAGAGGCTATTGGCCGCGAGGACTTGTCGAGGATATGGAAAAGGCACTTTAGAATAAGAGCGGAAATACAACAACAGCAATAGAACTATACATGGCCGTACGTTGGAGGTCTACCAACTGATAAGAAACTACTGAAGACTACATTACCAAATCAGCAGAAGAGCAGCACAAAGCAAACTGCTACTACTGCCTCGGTTCTCCGGCAGGGTCTGGAAGCCTACGGCCAAGAAGCGTACCGCAGTTTTGAATACAAGGAAACATCGAGCTTGGATCCCCCGAAGAAGATGCCAGAGTCACTGCTCTCCATGTAGCCGACCAGTCCAATCTCAGCCCTGGATTGCCCAGGTAAGCCACCCTGCAAGGTCTTGCAGTGTTCACTCACCATGGCAGTACTTGCACAGACATATGTCATCAAACAGAATGCCGCGATGATCACTATCAGCTGTGGCAGCAGCCAGTCGGTGCTCTGCGAGGAGCTGCATGGCATGAAGATCTCCAGAATGGGGGCAACTCCACCCATCAGCGCAGTCACACACAGGACTCCATAATTATACTGTGTGGCAATGTTCTGTGATCTGCCCGGTGAAAGCAGAGACGCGAGCCCAGCGAATGTAGGCTATGTCCACACCTTCAGGGATACTCGCGCAACTGCGGCAGAAGGCATCCACGAGCTCGTTGACAAACTCGTTCAAACGCAGTAGCCCTAAAACCCAAGCTGCACGATAAAGACATTGGAGGCAAGGCAACGCGGCGACTTGACATGTCATCTGCCCATCGCCCATGGCAACAAGTCGGACATTCGCGTCATGGCAAATCATCCAGCAGGCGAGGCATGTCGTGATCACAAGGATGTGCCGTTTGATGGCCGACTTTGGGGATGGACCCATGTTTTGGGACTGCATGGCATCCTTCACATGTGCATTGAACTCGTGGAAGCTGCTGCTGCAAGCTTTCTGCAACAAGAGGATCAGGTTCGCAGCTGCTTCCGACACATGCAGCCAGCAGCCCATTTGCCACCCTGTGCTTCCTCGAGCAATCGCCGAGTACAAGCAGGCTGCAAACAGCAGTACGCACATCAGCACCTAGGCACTGCAAACAGTCGTTACCCACCAAGGTCGGTCGTATAGGACCATGCCATGCAAGGTCCTCGTCGATGGAGGTCTTGCAGTGGAATGGCCCGTCCCTTCCACTCCAGCACCGTCCATCCATGAGGACTTTGCACGTGACGGAAGGGACTCTCCACCTGTACCTGTCTTCGGCGTTGGCAATGGACATGGGTCTGGCGCGATGCGGTCGAGACGCTCGGAAGCCCGCATTGACGCACTTGCCATAGCCTTCTTATCCATCTGAGTCTGCAGCTGCTCCAGCGTAGAATCGCTGTTGACGCAAAAGTAGCTCGAACCGGACATAGCTCTTGGGACATTCTCGGGTGGCTCCACCTGTGCCTCCATAGGAAGCGGAGAGGGCTGTCCATGGCGACGAGTTGGGGCACTAGGATCGTCGACCTGGGCCTGATGTTCAAACTTGAGCCCGTAGCCGGGTTTACACTCTCACAACTCGAACAAGCCAGGCGAGGATTCATAGGGTTTAGGGTTCTAGGGTTTCAGGGTTTTGGGTTTCGGGTGTAAGACTGACTCTCACAAGGCAGGCAAGGCTGTTTTGGCCCCCTGATAGCTCAGCTAGAGCCCGGATTGGGGTTAAGTCAGAGAGACCAGTTTAGAGATACCAGCATCCCGGCTGGGTTTCGGCATTTTACGGTTTAGGCTCTAGGGCTCAGGGCTTAGAGGGTCCCAGCATGACGGTCTGTTTCGACAAATTTGCACACAGCCCGGAGAAGTACGAGTGTCCTCAGGGACTCCAGAGGCTGCGGAGAGGAGGAGGCAAGAGTGCGATATCCGGATGTAGAAATACTAAGCCTTTCCGCATCAGGAGTTAAAACCGTGTACCAAGATGTACCACGTACGCACCTGCGTAACAAATTGACACCACTGCAGAGGACATTAACAGCCAGAGAGCGATGCACATCAGTAACACTGGCAGTCAGAATATGCAAAGGACAAGAAAACAGAATTAGCATGTAGCGCGGAGGAAGTACCCATCACCGGTCACACAAGAGAAAGGAAGTCTCGGTACTGAAGGCCTGACGCCTCCACTCAGCTGCTGCCTCACCGCCGAGAGCGTCGCCTGCAACGGAGACCCTGAACCCAAAGCTGAGGATGACGGGTCAAATGTGCTTTTGGAACGTGGGATGAGGAGCTAGCTACTGGAGCTGCCACGTACCCTAAGCATGCTCTATTCACTGGGGTGGCTTACGTGATAAAGCCTCGACCCTCACAGGAAGGAACTGACGACTTGCCGCATCTCCTCCACTGTCCGCATATATGCTCTTTGCCCCATCTAGGACGTAAGAAGTTGTGTAAAGCAGCGTACAGCTATGATAAATCTCCTAGGACAGCCAGCTCTGCAATACTGCTTCCGGGCAGCTGCTGGAGTTCTGTCCACTGCCTTCCTGTCTTCTTAACATGACAGCCGGAATAAATACAATAGGCCGAGACAACAAGCTGCAGTTCAACGGCCCTTCCAGTGCGACCAAAACTGACAGGATTCAGGGGCGGTGACGACGCCTGCGAGGAGCAACTGTTCCCAGTATCTGCTCGCCAGTCGTGTCGGTGTGCAATGGTTTGACACTCACTCACCCGAGGATCCTGAATCAACTCGGACGAACTCTACGATCGCGGATGCGATGCAGTCAAGGTTTCGAAAGATAAAGCTGAAACGGCAGATGATGATGATGATGATGATGCTGATGATGATGATGATGATGTTGATGATGACGACCAAGAAGCAGATGGTGACGATGATGGTCATGATGATGGCGATGATGAAGATGATGATGATGACGATGATGATGAAGATGATGATGATGGTGATGATGATGTTGATGACGATGACGATGACGATGACGATGACGATGACGATGACGATGACGATGAGGATGATGATGATGATGGTGATGATGATGATGATGGTGATGCCGATGACGCCGATGATGACGATGATGATGATGATGATGCTGATAATGATGCTGCTGATGCTGATGATGATGATGAGGAGTCTGCGAGGCATGGGTGAGGTGATGCCAATGATGCAGCCCTTGGTGTATGGAGGGGTCGCCATGATGGTAAACGCTGCGCCTCGGCAACAGCTGCTTGCTGTCTGAGTTCATCAATGGTGCGCTGCTTCTCGGAAACTTCGTCACGGACAATGGCCACCTTGCCGGGAAAAAACACAATAGACTCAAAACCCTCAGGCCGAGTTCTTCGACTCCAACACTGGCACCGCACTGGCCAAGTATCGCTGCTCGCTCTTGTTGTGGCTTCTTTTGCTCTCGTCCTTTCTTATGAGGTTCATGCTGGGGTAGTGCAACCAACAACTTTCTACATAAGCATGGTGCGCAAAACAGGTGGGAGTCTGAGTAGCTTCGGCCTGGATCCGCTTCTCCTCGTTGCTGTCGCACAGCAGCTGACGCAAGTAGCGGATCTCTTCTAGCAGCACATCATCCTTCGACCTGCTTACAGTTTGGATAAACCCTCTCTCTAGCTGGGCTAGGGAAAACTTTAAACCCTACACGCCTGAACCCTAAACCGGGCTTCTTGATCTCACATGTACTTGCTTCGCTCTCGGGGCAGCCTCGAGGAAAAGCAAAGTAGACTGGGCCAGGGTGGGAAACCCGGTACTATAGATCACTATGATCTACTATGAAAGGCGAAAATATACCATACTGTACTATATTATAATATACTATGTCATACTCTACTATAATATACTATACTATAGTTCACTCTTGTGGTACTAGAACTCCAGTGCCCGGGCTCAGGGCGGCTGAGCGCATTCGCATCAGCTCTAGGGCTCTAGGATCACACCAAGTCACACTACAGAAGCCACTGCTGGCTTAGGGTTTAGCGTTAAGGTCGTTTAGGTTTTCACTGCAGCAGGATGGAGAGCTACCTTACCTAACGGTCACGCGAGACATCGCGAAACAACGACACAATAATGTCAAGGCCTTCAAGGTGAGACTGGGGTTGGGGCTGCAAGAATAGTATCTGAAGCCTAATACGGAACCTCACCTTAAGCCCTTCCTCTCTCTCTCCCTCCCTCTCTCCCTCCCTCCCATCGCCATGCTGGCATCAGACACAGTGCGCCGAAACCCGTCTCTTTTTCACCGTCCGCTGGTCAAAAAGAAAATGCCTATGTATTTGTCGAGCGCCGTCCCGCGCAACACGCACCTGCACCAACAATTTCAGTTCTAGCGGAATCTAGCGTGTGTGTGTGTGTGTGCGTCTCTGTGTGTGTGTGTGTCTGGGACTGAACGGGGATACTAACTATTACTGCTAAGCCCTAAACCCTAAACCCATTTGGACCCCTAAACATCCCAAAACTTAGCTCCAGAACGGTATGCAATGCTGTTCAGGTCCGCTGTGAGCGAGGCAGTCGCGCAAAGGCGAGGCGGCGCGCGAAGGCCGCTGAAAGGAGGAGATTCATTTTATGTATATCTGTCTGAGTTCGCAGCCACGTAGAAATCACACACCGGTTGCCTCTGCGAAGGAGAGTTTGACCTCAGCCCTACACCTTTACGTATAGGTTCTGGCCGAAGCTGCGAGATGAGAGTGCAAAGCGCTCTTCTGCAAGAAAATGCTCTTGTTCTTCTGCCTCTCATGCCTTGCGAGCGTTGCCTGAGCCTGCCGAAGCCTGTGCTGCATAGGGCACATCTGCTGGTGCTTCGCACTGATCTGCACCCTGCTACGCTGCAAGACGATGCGGTGCATTTGACCGCCGTGTCCATGTTCAAAGGTTTATTAAGAGGGGAGACATGCGGACAGTCGGCGGCATGCTCTGTGGGCTCTGTTCCGTCTATTGAGAGATCTGGGATTCTTCAAATTGACGCCATGACAGCTGTAATGCACCATCCTCTTCTAATATACATGCCCAGAGCCCATAAATTTTCTTTCACAGAAACTTGCTTTCGAACAGTCCGCATGTGCTGCTGGCTGCCGGAGGTGCTGCCTAGCCGGAAAGGCCGCCACCATGCACCGCTACATCATGGCTCCGCCGGGAATTTGGCTTTGTCTCCATGGCAACTGGGCCCGGGCTAAGGTGAGTAGGCTGACAGGTCTTTTTTGAAAAAAGCAACATCACCGTCGCAGTCTCCATGCCGAAATTGTACAGAAGTCGGAGAAGATCGGCGAAGTGCAAAAGGGGGGGTCCAAGACACTGACAGGGCTCCGGAGGTGGGGTGAAGGTAGCTGAGGTTTTCCAAAATCAGAGTCCGCAAGTAAGGGATCATTCATCCTATCTACCTTCATCCCACATTCTGAGGCCCTCGACTTAGACTCACAGCTTAAAAGAACTCCGTGCCAAATTTGTACACAAAATAGAGCAGATCTGCGAAGTGGAAAAGGGGAGGTCCAACCGGAGAAGCAAACTAGAGTATACTATAGTAATGAAAATGATGTGGTACACTTTTATTATAGCATACTTCAATACACTTCAGCAAGCCAGAATGAGCCATACACAATCTACGATAGCATACTTTCCGAATTAAGTCAGTTTCCTACTGCCCGAATGATAACGCATGACTTGATACGTAATGCATTGTCCCGTTGCAGATCCTTGTCTTCCCTCCCACAAGGTTGGATGCAGCTGAGATGCCCTCCAGCCTCCGCACGCCGTTGACTGAATGGAGGCATCAGGAAAGCCACAGCTGCACAATACACGGGCAAAAAATCACTGGACGGCTGCCCCGTCTCAGAATGCTAATCCGCAGTCGATCAGAGTGCCTATATCTCTGGTGCGGACCGTGCGAGTCTTCGACTGTTCTACCGAGTTCTCGGGAAGGACTTCGCACTACTACAGGGGCCTCCTGAACCTCAAACCCTACACCCTAAACTCTTAGCAACTAGCAATTCGCATAGGATATATTATGGTGGTACGACACACTTCAGCACTGTGAAGAGATTCACCTCGTCGAGCTCCTTGCAGTCTGTGGAAGATCATTTGTAAAAGAAACTGTGCCTCGATCTGTCCTTCATGCTAAACTGGGGTTTAGGGTTTAGGGTTTAGGGTTTACTGTTTAGGGTTTAGGGTTTAGGGTTTACTACTCGTTTTCCACTCTCGCACGGGCACAACGTCAATGCAGGCAAGGCTTCGCGACAAGTCTGGGTTACACTCCTACTGCCGGTTTCGACTCACACACTCGCACCAGGCAGGCATAGCTTCACGACGTGCGAGCTTGCACCCCTAACAGCTGAGGCATGACACTCCTACGAAAGGAAGAAGCCCCGTACTCGGGCAGGCAAAGAACCGGTCCTAGTGGCCTATATGTAACCAATTAAATAACAACTTACCACACTGTAGTAGGCTTCTTTCTCACTCCGGATCGAACCTCATGCACCAGACGCCGTCAAGCATTGCCAAGTGAACAATATCAGGCTACAACTAACATAAATATTGCCAGGACATACATGTACCAATGAAAGCGGATGCATCCACCTGGACAGCTGGCAAGGCGACAGCTCAGTGGCAGCAAGAACACTGTTTCAAAATGTTCGAGTCTCGTTATGGTACTCCAGACTATACATGTGGGTCAAGCCCCTCAGTGCCTTGACGGTCACACTTGATTGGGGCAAACCTAAACATGCCGAAACCGCGACTTTCTTGCAGTGGCTTCCGACCCCGAGTAACGCTCGTCTGTGCTTTTACACTCGTTGATGATCCAACTCAGCAAGGACGTCCACTCGACCGGCATTCCGTTTGGGACACAGCCGAGCACATCCAGTTCGTCATCCGTGCAGCCTTTGTTGTCCAGCTACTACGTGTGGCAGGTGTGGGCTGCTTCTGGCGCCGCAGAATGCCGCCCAAGCCGCACCATCCTGAAGAAGCCTGCCTCCGGCTTGTGAGACAGTCATCGACATCCTCGGAGTCGTCAAAGTCCCACAGCGTGCCTTCCAATCCTCGCGGTGCACCCCAACGACTCGCCCGCATGCTGTGGAGAGCGTCTGCATGGCGTCGCCGAACCGGTGGGCTCTCTGAACACTGCGACCCGCTCGACTCAGAAGCAGACTCCTGGTTTTTGACGTTTTGGCACAGCTTGGACATCTCCTCTTCGTCGAGGCAATGTACCCGCCGTATTGTGAAGTCGACCTCGATCTCATCGGTACGCAACTCCTCCACGCGCCCACCCAGCGCCGCCAGAACGGGTGCATGCGGATGGAACAAGCTCGCCGCTGCGCTCCGCGACAACGGATCGAACTCGCTCTCGCATCCAAGGAGTGAGTCCAGGGCGTGGAATGACCGTGCGGGTGGGGCTACCACGGAAGCAAACTCCCGTCTGGGTGAGGCTACCACCGAAGCACCCTCCCAAGACATCTTGATGCACAAGGGATAAGCCGTGACTAACTGACAGGGTTCGGCTTGAGCCGTAGCGTTGTAAGTGGGATTTGGGGTTGGTTCAGGAATAAACTTTTGGAATTACGTTCAGGACTCCAAGTCACAAGGGGATGCCTCCTAAGGAGCTCTTAACTATGTACGGGATCTCAGAACCTGTGAAAACATCGTCTTGGAGCCTGTCCGAAAATTACCGAAACTTCAGACCTAGGTGGCACTCAGTCCAGGAATCTGAGACAGTGTACAACACGGTAATAGCCCAGTCTTCAGCAGTATGAAAGATATGAAAGCTGAAAGGGCCGGTCAGCCACAGCTTTGTAAGCTTCGGTGCACTTCGAGTGTCAGACACTTCTGCAGGAGACTGATCAAAATTCAAAGGTCACCATGGTTTCAAAGAAGGCCTTGGGATACCAGGTGCCATGCTGTACTACGAGAAACCCCGGGTGAGGTTGTGGATAAGAATTCTCTCTAGCTTCTTATATATTGCAGTATACGTAGCTATTTCCCCTTATGCCCAAAGCCGAGCCGAAGTAAGAGCCACGCGCCCTCAAAAAGCCAGGCCTCATGGGCATGCTGAAACCCGGGGCAGGAGCGGCGCTGGATCGTCCTCTCTCTCTCTCTCTCTTTCTCACTCTCTCCCTCTCTCTCTATCTTCCACTCGCAAATGCACTGTTTTCTGCTCTCCACAGACTGCTACAAACACCCTCCGCCGATGGATTGGTGCGCTCGGCTCTACCTGATTGGCGCTCGC